AGCTTTCTTATTTCCATCCCCCTCTCCTTGTTGCTCTTCTAAACCCTCTCTGAATCTTTTCTTACCAACAAGTTCATCAGCTGAAGTTAGAAAATCCCCACTCCTTTGGAGTCTCCCTTCAGGTAGTTTGAATCACCTCCACTTGTTGTGTCTATACAAGAAGCATGCCCCCACTTTGGCCTATAGGATCAACAATTGAATATCAGCCTTCATAGCCAAACTTCCTGCAAACAGACCTAACAAATGTGTTTGGTTTTTTTGGTTTCAGATATAAAAAAAATATATATAATAATAATAATAAAAAAAAAAAATTGGGTGGTGAGTCCTACAAGACTCTTTGATTTAGAAATTGTAGAGGGCCTACCCAGCCGTCTAAAATTCCACACCACAGCTAACATTGGTCACTTGGGTGCCACTCTAGGTTGGCCACCCCCACCTGTTCCACTTTTACTTTAATTTTCTTTTGAGTAACTTTAGCTTTCTTATTTCCATCCCCCTCTGCTTGTTGCTCTTCTAAACCCTCTCTGAATCTTTTCTTACCAACAAGTTCATCGGCTGAAGTTAGAAAATCCCCACTCCTTTGGAGTCTCCCTTCAGGTTTGCCAGAACTCCTCCATTTTTTAGCTGTGCTTTTCTGCTTATGCTTGGGTTCTGGCTCTTAAGTGTTAAGGGGGTCTCCTGCACATATCACCATTTCCAAGTCCATATCCTGGTCTGCTATATCTCCCAGAGGTACATGGTCACTGATCTTAGCAGGAGGTGGTGTCCCTGGTTTAAAAGATTTATGACTGCTAGAAGCAGCCTTACAGGAAGCTGTAGCTGCTGTTTCTGGGGAAATAATGGCTTGTATGGGTTTCTGCACTGAAATAATCTGGTTCCTAACTACCACCTGGCTAGCAGAAGTGTGCATAGAGGATTTAGTTTATGAAATTGGACTTAAGCCAAGTTAACATTGGACTTGTTAGATGTTTATTGGTTATATTAATAAAAGTAACGCATATCAATTATTAGGTATGTTTGATAAACCTACCCGATAGGCTAGTTTATAGCTTTTAAGTTAATTTTGAGCTTATAGCTGATAGTTTATGAATTAGGGTTGAAAAACTAGCTTATATAAAAGCGCTTGGTAACATTAGCTGATAAGGTAGCTGAAATAAAATTTTCAATGAGCTTATTTGAAAAGCTACCCAAAGAAGATTATGATATAAGCGCCCAATCGTGAACCGTTGCATCTTAAAACAAAACAGATCGAACAGATAAAAAACTATCCATAAATTACTTAAGTATTCAAAGGGACAAAAATTGCCCGAATTTGAAAATCAAAAAAATATAAAACTACTCCCTTTTGTGGTTACATTCTCTGATCCAACAGTTTGGTCGCTTGCCAGGTGTGCAAAAATAAAAGCAATGTGTTTTTTGAGGAAAAGAATCCAGAAATCTGATACACGCCGCATTTAATGTCTGTCTCTTCGGCTGGCGTCATCAGTGCACCAATTAGTTAATGCGGGTCCGAGCCACACACTCAGCAAAAGACAAACTCATCGCTCAACCCAAATTGTGTTACCAAAAGTACGACCTCAGAAGAAATGTCGAGGACCTCCCATCCGAGCTCTGGGGCCTGTAGAGCGTCATCAAGGCATTGAACGAAGGTGATCCCCAAAAACCATATCGACATCTGGATAATGGAAAGACCGGGCTGGATAGAAAATGAAGGTGCCCAGGATAACAAGAGAAACGGTTCCGAAGATCGACATTTCTAGGGCCGTAGGCCGAGGTCGACCTCTGTGAGAGATATTCAAAAGGATCACGGAGATCAGAAGTCGAGGATAGTTCAAGTTACGGTGAAAGTCCAACCTGGTGATTCGACGAGGCCGGTCCCTGGGACATACGAGGAGCCCAGAAATGAATAAAATATTGTCACTTATCAAGTGATGATTTGCTGATGGGACACGCCACCCTAGTCAACCACTCTAGTTCACTTAGGTGTGCATGGTGACCTGTTAGCATTAAATGCCCCACATGTGTGCATTTAATGCCTGACAGGTAATCATTAGCTAAAACCTCAAATCTCATTAAACGCTTGTCAGGACGGCGTTAGACCCATCATTTTCGGTTTACTGTACGAGGTGACAGAGTGAACAATATCATATTAGTATTACTATAAATAGGAAGATCCCCTCATTTATTGAGTGTGGTTGATTCCTCTAACAATTTTCTCTATCTCTACATTTACTCTGTAATAAAGACCGTGATTAATTCCAAGTGTAAGCAAAAGGCCGACACATAATTAACATAAGAAAAAATTATTCCCTTATTAAATCTTTTCCTTTACTCGTTTTTACCATTCTTAAATCTTGAATTAACCTTTGACCGATTCTGATCTTCAACAAACAATTAGATAAGTTGATAATTTGGATATGGGGGCTTCCATTTAAAAATTACATAAGTCACAAGGACTTATCTACAAATTAAACAATTTTAATTGTACTACAATTTCATTCATGAGTTAAATCTATAATTTAATAGAGTTGATAAGTGCACTATATTGTTTAGTGTAGTGCAGAATATCATGTTTCAATATGCACGTTAAAAATACTCGCAATGCAGAATACACAATAATGTTAGAGAAGATGAACATTAATGTCTGCGATAATGCACATCAGCGTAACAGTGCATTATGTGCAATGACTATACCCCACGTGAAAAATCAAATGTCCACATATTTACAACAATGTCACTGATCATTTGACCAGAGTTGGACCTTTTGATTATGCTGAAGTGTTGATATAACTCAATCGATACGATTTAGTCCTATTTCTTTTATAGTAACTCGTTCTCAATTGATATAACTTTTCCCTCTATCTCTCTTTCTCCAGGGTTGGGTTCAAGTGAGAAGGATGCTCAATGAAAGAAATAAGAATAAATCTTAGCTACTAAATCGGATGATCTAATGGCTAAAAATAAAGCCAAAATTATATCTTCATTATGGGTAATGTGATAATTTAGCCACCACACATCACATCTCTCCCTCTCCCCACACACACACCCATGCCACGTTACCATCCAATACACACACATCATCACAAACACACACAAGACACACACAAACACACGCGCACACACACACAACACATGCATACATATCAACACACACATACACACACTTGACACACACTAATTCATGCACACACTCTTCACATACACACACATTGAACACATACACACACACACACACACGCGCGCGCACACACACACACACACACACAGCACACGATGGCACAACCCAGCCCGCCAGAAACCACCCAGCTCGTCGCCTGTCACCCGTCGCTCGCCGCTCACCGCTCACCGTTTGCCGCTGCTGCATGCCGCTTGCCGCCCGTCATCCTACCGAGCCACCGCCTTCCAGTCCGCCATCAACATCCTCCGCCGCCGAGCTGAACATGTGCCGCCTCCAGCTGTCTCCGACTGGCACACCACTAGGAGATTCCCACAGCAACCGCCCGCCACGCCGGACCGCAACCGTAACAGACCTCCAGAGAATCGTCTCCAGCACGATTTCCTGCTCTCCGGCCTATGACGACGAATACGATGGAAAAGACGCGGTTGAAGTGGCCGGAAGAACCTGAGCTTTGTTTTAGGAGTTGGGGGATTCGTTTTCGAAAATTTGATAGTTCACAGGGATCCAATTTGTAATTTTAAAAATTTATAATATATTTCAATTTAGCTCATGGACCAGATCTGTAATTATAAAAAATATATTACAAAAATATTATTTTTATATATTGTTTTATGCACATATATATTATATTATTTTGAACAATTATTAATACAAAAAATAAAAAAAATATTATAATGATTGACCAGGGTCTATGACAAAACATTAAAGTATAACTGCATTTTGAGAGCACTTTAGCGTTAGATGAATTGCACATTATTGATCTACAAATTGAACTATAGCGACCGAAATCGAACGAACTAAATTTGTTGGTTTGGATTTTATATTTTGGTTTGATTATATGTCTTTAATTTTAAAACTTTGGTTATTTCGGTCGAGGTCGTTTTATTTTCTAAAATAACAGAGCCGACCGAACTATGTAAAGTGTTATATTTCGTTGTATATATTTTTTTAGGTTTTTTCAACCAAAAATAATATAAGATATTTAATATAATGCTAAAATATTAAATATGTTTTTATAATATGAATAAAAAATTAATTTGATTATTTACGGTAGGAGGATTGATGATAGAATAAACCGATTATGTCACTTCCATTTTAGTTTGGTTCGGTGTGAATCATGAAAAATAAATGCATCATGAGTGCACGATAATGTTACAAGAGTTGCACATTAATGACTATCAAATTGCACAATAGCGACTGAAACCAAAAGAGTTAGATTTCTTTATTTGAAATATTATATTCAGTTCAATTAATTGTATTTATTTTTAAAATTGCGGTGTTGTCTTTATTTTTTATAATAACCGAAACGACCGACCTATCTGAAAAATAGTATTATTTCTTTTATGTATTTTTATGTATGACGGGTGCACTTTGAGGTTATACAAATTGCACATTAGTGACTATTAGATTGCACAATATCAGAAGACCTCGATCTAACAAAAAATTTCAGTTCGAGAATTAAATTTCAATTCGATTGCCAATTTTTTACATTTAAAAACTCGGTTATGCCAGTTTGATATTGATTTTTTTTACTTAGATAAACGAACGACCGAACTATATAAAACGTATTATTCATTTTATTATTATATTTTTTATGTAAAATATTATTAAATTTCAGCCATAAAAGTACAAAAATATTAAATATTAAATGGAAATATTAAAATATTAATAATAGTTTGATTAATTACAATTTCACCCATGACCTAAAGTGCAGTATATAAAAAATGTTGAAATTGCAACTAGACCCCTAAAACTTATCAAATTCACAAAAGCAAGCTCATATCTTTTGATTATCATGCCCGTTTATATCCCACCGAGCACCTCATCCTGCGGCCACCGGTGGACCTTCGTCGGTCGCCGTCACAATGCCACCATCATCGACCACCTCGAATTCAACAACAACCTTATTGTCCCGGATGGCCGAGCTCGCCGATGACCACAACGCTAGCGGCCGCACGCCCCTGCAACAAGCGTTCACCAGTGGCCACGACGTCGTCGTCAGGAGCATCTCTTGTTCAGCAGCGGGGGGCTTTGTGGCGGACGACGAGTGGTAGACGAAAGGCGACGGCGGCGGGTGGTGTACGGACGACAGCCGACAGATGGTGGCAGGATTGGGCGATGACGTGGGCAGTGCTGGGTTAGGTCGGAGGCGACGGACGGTAGTTGTGGGCTAGGGTGTCGTCGTCTGTGTGAGCGCACACGTGTGTGTGTGTGTATGTCTGTGTGTGCGCATGAAAAAAATCAGAATTTTTGTGTGTGTATTTGTTTGTGTGAGAGAGAAGGGAGGGGAAAGGTTAGTTGTAGAGCCCACTACTAGGGGTTGATTATTTGATGAGAGTGTAATGACTAGTTTACCCCTATTGAGTGGTGAAAAGCATACATTTGATCATGATTTATAGACTTATTTACCATACTGCCACTTATATTTAACCATTATTTGTTAAATTTTGACTTGATCATAACCATTGGTTTGGTGAATCCAATGGTCCATAATCATTCTTATTTCTTTCACTATCCCTCTTTCTCATATGATCCTCTCTCTCTCTCTCTCTCTATATGTATATATATATATATATATATAGAAAGAGTTGACACTATGTTTCCATTTATGATCGGGAAAAAAACTTTTTGTCATCCGAACTATAACGATTTTTGCGAATCACCAAATAATTTTTTTAACAAACCACCACCTGAATATATGGGTTTGTCAAATTGCCCCTAAACCGGATGTAAAAGTAGTTTTGACTAAAACAAGATGATTTTTTAGGGCATTTCAAAAATTTTATTTTTTTTTAAAAAAAAAGAAAAATGAGAAAACTTAAGAAGTAAATTCCAAGTAAAAATTCCAATTAGCATCAATCAAGGAAACAAAAGAATGGAAGTAAAAATGCAGTCTGCCATGTTCGTCTAAAATCTTGGCTCCATGTCAGGCATCGAGGCTTGACCCTTGTGCAAAACTATCACGACTGATGGACTTCCAACTGTTGATAGGGAAGGTGGATGCACCTATCTTCCCACATGCGGCAGCAACCACCTTCTTCCTCCCCCATGCCCCTGCAACGTGAATATCCTCAAGGCTCTTGGAGAGCGCTTGAGCGGCAGTTCCCTCGACGGCGTCGCCTTTATACTCTGTTCCGACTTTCTCACAAAGCCCGCTGCCACGTATGCGGTTGCGGACGGCATCACCGGCGATAACGAGATGGAGGTCGCCCCGGAGCTCCGTGTCTTCCTGTGGGACAATTGGTTGGAGGCGGCTTTTGTGGAGGGAGTTTGTGTTGGGCCCCCCTACTTTGCCAATGTGGCTCAGCTTTGCAAACCAAGATTTCGCCACCAGTCGCTCACTCATGTTCGGTGCCGCTCAGACTCCGCCTTTCGCGCCGCAAGCAAGCAACCGGAGTTCACGCATCTACCGTCGCCGCTGGGCTTGAACTCCTGCTTCATGGACCTGGGATTGAGCCAATGGCGAGACCGATTTGCACAATGCAATTAGGGTTTGTATGCCGCCATAAGCAAAAATCGTCTAGGCATTTTTGGAGTCGGAGGTTATGGACTTGACGGCTGTGGTGACTTTTTCCTTCACCGACATGGAGCCACATTCGATGATTCAGAGCAGTGGACCGAGAGCACCCTCCTCGAATGCGCATCTCTGCGGCAAATCGCTGAAGAAGACAAGCAGAGACATGACGGCAACGACCAGCTCCAGAATCGAGTTGCAGCGATATGGGGTCAAACAGCGAGATCAGCTGGCTGACGTTGGCCTCCCTCGCAACGACGGTGGTGGACTTTTCGTTCTCTAACAGAAGTTGATCCAGGGACTCCAGTGCCTTCCATCGGTGCTGGTCTCCATCCATTTTATTTTTTTCATTTCTCTTTTTTTTTTAAATATATGAAATTCCTGAAATGTCCTAAAAAATCAGTTTTTTTAGTCAAAACTGTTTTTATATTCTGTGTAGGGGGTAATTTGACTAATCCGTATAGTTCAGGTGATAATTTANTCTATAATATTAATTTGTTGGGGTTCAATATGAAAACATTTTGATTGGGTGTACACTGTTGCTTTAAAAGTAGGCAGAATTAACTACGCTAGAAAATTATATAAAAATAACCAGTGCTGTTTATGCAAATAGTAAAATGTGTAAGGACCACACACGGCAAACGTTTTTCTTGCAAAGGCAGAGGCGAATATGTAAATATCGAAAGAACATGGAGTGCATATTCAAATAACTACGCCCAAACCATTTGGCCTTCACCAGCAAAATCTTAGCTGGATCCATATCGCTCCGAAAATTATATTCCTCAGTTACCCATCGTATTATTAACAATAACCTTACTTATTTTAATTATTTATCTCCAGTTAAAAAAACAATTAAATAATATTTAATAGTACCACCGTCGGTTCACCGTACTTTCTCACTCTACCGTTATTTATCTTTTTCTTCTTTTACCTTTTGACCCCTCCCTCTCTCTCTCACACGCACTGGACAGTCTGGACTGTGAAATGTGTGTAGAGAGTTTTCATTCATTCACACACATTGATCCTTATTCCTTCTCTCACCTAAATCCTGCACTTTACTCTCTCTCTCTCTCTCTCTCTCTCTCTCTCTCTTTCACACGCACAGAGAAGATATAGAGAGTGAATTATACACTGCGAGCTAGCTGTTTTACATAGAAAACGCCGTATCAACAATGCCCACCTCCTATTCGGCGATCGCCACCGCCGTCCTCATCGTCTTCTTATCCTTCGACCTCCTATCCTCCTCCTCCTCTGCCGTCCAGAACCGCCGCATTCTCCACCAACCATACCTCCCGGAGGACTCATCCCCTCCGTCACCGCCCTCCTCCCCAACCCCATTTTCCGCTTCTGCCCCTACCAACGCACCGTTTTTCCCATCGTACGTCACCCCTCCTCCTCCGCCTTCGCCTCCTCCCCTGGTCTCCTTCGCTTCATTCCCCGCCAACGTATCCTCCCTGGGCGCCAAGTCCAAATCCGCGTCGCCCAAGCTCATTGGAGGCGCCGTCGCCGCCGTCATTGCCGCCATCGCCATCGTCTCCCTCGCCGTCCTCCTCCACAAACGCCACAGGGAAAGCCGAAGGTCGCCGTCGTTTAACCACTCCAAGAGCCAGAGATCTGATACGACCAGAACCACTACTTCAATTCACCAAGCCCCTAATAACCTCCACCACCAGCTCCCGAAGCTGCAGAGACCTTCACAGACGAGCGCAGAGTTCCTGTACCTGGGCACCTTGGCGAACTCGCAAGCCGCAGCAGTGGGCGGCGTTGCGTACAATGGAAGCAGCGTAGCCGCCGGGAGTGGCGGCAACACTCCCAATCCTCGGAAAATGGGCTCGCCGGAGCTCCGCCCTTTGCCGCCGCTGACCACCCAGCAGAGCTTCCGGCGGAACAACAGGAATAACGCGGATTTGGCCTCGAGCAGAGGCGATGAAGACGAAGAGTTCTACTCGCCGAGAGACTCGGTGAACGGCAGGGAAAGTTCCCTTGGCACTGGATCAGCTTCTAGAAGAGCTTTTGCCGCAGTAGAAATCGAGAATTTCAATCGGTCTACTTCCAATTCCTCCACAACTTGCTCCTCTTCAGGTTCGGGATTGGTCTCAGGCTCTCCGGTGAGGTCCGTCTCTCTGAGCCTTTCCCCGGCAAACAGTTTGAGCTCCAGAGACTCGATGCCCAAGTCGCCTGATTTAATTGAGATTCAGACTCTCAACGTGCCTCTGCATCGGCAAATGCCTCGAGGACCAACGTCTCAGGAATCTGCCTCTCCATCACCGCCAAGTTCATCATCATCAAGGAGAAGTCAGGAACCATCCCCCACAATTTCCAGTAATTCCAATCGGAAAATAGAAACTCCGGCGAGAATCAACGGATCTGTGCAAGATAACAATGTCCCGGCTATTCCAACATGGCCACCGATACCACCACCTCCGCCACCATGCCCACTGCCTCGGAAAAAGTTATTTTCCGAGCAGCCTGCACTGGTAACGTCCTTGAGACCAATAGCCCTGGAGAGTTCCTCATCGATTTCTGCTCTCGAGCTGCCCTCAAATGGTTCGGAGAGTGTCAAGAAGGATGGGAAAGAAGTTTCTCCAGTTAACAGCGAACATGACTGGACCACTCCAAAACCGAAACTGAAGCCATTGCATTGGGATAAAGTGAGGGCGAGCTCCGATAGGGAGATGGTGTGGGACCAGCTCAAATCCAGCTCTTTCAAGTAGGATATTTTTTCCTCATTAATTACATGGATAGGGCCCATTCATGATTAGCTTGCATGGTTTTTTTGTGTTTGTTGGTCTAGATTGTTATGTGTTGTTCGTTGTTTGCTGTGCAGATTGAATGAGGAGATGATCGAGACGCTATTTGTTGCAAATACCTCGAATTCGACTCCAAAAGAAGTAACTAAGTGGCAGGTTCTTACCTCTACTGGTCGAGACGATGGTAATAGGGTTCTTGACACCAAGAAGGCACAGAATATTGCGATTCTGTTGAGGGCGCTCAATGTCACCGTAGAGGAAGTTTGCGAAGGCCTCTTAGAAGGTATAGTATCTGGAAATTGAAGATCTGTAGCTTTCTGTAATTGCCATTTGGTGTGTTTTGGTTTGTTTGAGCTATCTAACTACATGTTCAGTATTGTGCAACATAAAAAAATCAAACATAACTATGTATGGACATGTTCTTGTATTTGTTGAGATGCACAAAATTTTGAGACATTGCTTTATGAAGGTGTGCATTTCTATGTAGCACTAAGTGATTCTTTTGCTTTATTTTACTCTTTCTTGTTGAGTTTTTCTGGGTTTTTCTTCAGCTCATGGTGGAAAGTTTGAAGTTTGTCTTTCAATGATCACTTCATATGACTAGTTTGCTAGGTTATTTGTTTTCCTAACCGGAGTAATGACTTTGACTAGGCATGCATCCCATCATTTTAGTGTTGAACACATGTAGCATATTTTTGAAGCATCATACCTTTCGTCTGGCCTTAGGGAATGAGAAAGTTGCACAATCATTGTCATATATAATTTCAAGTGCCAGATATATATGCTGTAGTTGTAACAAACTCCATGTAGTCACTCTTATCCCTATATCCCTTCAAGAAACTGGTTCATTGAAATGGGGATGTCGGTAAAACAATGCGTCACAATGTTGTGATTATGTTTCACTTCCCTGTTGCCTTTTTAATTGTTTAGTTAACACAGTCCTTATCTAATTCTACTCCTGATATCAGGCAATACAGAAACTCTGGGTCCTGAACTTCTTGAGAGTTTATTGAAGATGGCGCCAACTAAGGAAGAAGAGAGAAAGCTAAAAGAATATGAAGATGTTTCGCCCACCAAGCTTGGGGCTGCTGAAAGATTTTTAAAGGCAGTTCTCGATATACCTTACGCGTTCAAGAGGGTAGAAGCAATGCTATATGTGACAAATTTTGAATCCGAGGCTGACTACCTCAAAAGGTCGTTTGCGACACTGGAGGTACTATTTTCATACAAATACCAGCATTTTAGATGATTCTTATAACCTTTTACTCGAGACCATAAACTTTAAGTAATAACAAGATCAAACAAATTGTGACGTATATAGTTTATCAGAGCTATCATCATCAAACCCCATATTTAAGTGGCGACACTCAGTACAGTGAAGTTTTTCTTTCTGTTTATTATACATATTAGAATCCTGATATATGAAGAGATTATGTCAACATTTTCTTTTCACTCTACCAAAAAAAGTCTTCAGTTCTCGAAGCTAATAAACTCTATCAAACCAACAAAATACAGCATCTTCCCTGTCTGACCGTGAATGTGTTAAGTATAGGCTAAGTCATGTTTCATAGAGCCTTAATACTGAAAGTTAGGCCACTGGAGTTTGAACCATATCTGCTCAGCAAAATAAAAAGCTAACAGAATTCTGGGGCAAAGAAAGAAAAATTGTTTTAGACTTTAAGCAATTCAAATCAAGAGGATCAATTTTACTTGCAGGGAGCTTGCGAAGAACTAAGATCTAGCCGGATGTTCCTGAAGCTTCTAGAAGCTGTGCTGAAAACTGGGAACCGCATGAATGTGGGCACAAACAGAGGGGATGCCCACGCCTTCAAGCTCGACACTCTCCTAAAGCTTGCTGACGTCAAGGGAGCTGATGGGAAAACCACGCTCCTTCACTTTGTGGTTCAGGAGATCATCCGAGCTGAAGGTTCTCGACTCACAAACAGCAACACAACCGAAAACACCAACGACGAGGCCAAATGCAGAAAGCTCGGCCTCCAAGTCGTTTCTAAATTAAGTTTTGAGCTATCAAACGTGAAGAAAGCTGCCACAATGGATGCTGAGGTGCTCTGTGGGGATGTTTTAAAGCTCTCAAAAGGTATCGGGAATATAAGAGAGGTCGTGAGGTTAAATGATGGTTTAGTGGGAGGTAATGAGTTTTCCAAATCTATGAACGGGTTCATGAGAAGGGCTGAGGAGGAAATTATAAGGATCCAAGCCCAAGAAAGTGTTGCTCTATCTTTGGTGAAGGAGATTACCGAGTATTTCCATGGGGACTCGGCCAAGGAAGAGGCTCATCCTTTCAGGATCTTCATGGTGGTCAGGGACTTTGTGGCGATTTTGGATCGGGTGTGTAGAGAAGTTGGGATGATAAACGAACAAACGATGGTTAGTTCTGCCCATAAATTTCCTGTGCCAGTTAACCCAACTTTATAGGTTCAGTTGTAACAATTTTGTATTTATTAAAATGTAAATGAAAGTAAGAGGTTTTGTAACCTTTCAGGTTTTATAGGTATATATGTCAAGAAAAGTGTTTCAAGGCAATAAAAACTCAACTTACAGGGATGGGTGTGATATTCTTGTATTTTTCCTGTAGAGCATTTTTTGTTTCAAAGATGTAATTTTAGATGGTAAGCATGCAACCAATTCTCAACCAGGCTACTTTGCCTCTATCTATGGCTTCCAGTAAAATTCGTTGAACATGATTAGAGTAGTTGGAAATAAGGTTTATATTAACTAATATTTATGTTTGTTGATTTATTGTTCTGTCATTCATCTGGATTATTAAGGAAACTTAATCATGGTATTGACATTGAACGAAGTAGTATAATTTAGTTACTTGGCTTAGTTATGTACAAGATCAAATATAGAAAGTGATTCCTTGAAACTTTTTATTTGCATACCAAACTTAATTGGTATATTCTGTGATCTTGTCTGACTTCAGGAGTAGTTTTTGTATTTAAAACCTTAAATAGAATAGTAACTAACTCAGCTCTACAACATCAATACAATTGCTTATATCATTTAGAATACAAATCAGAAGCCAGAACCAAAAGATGGACTTTATAAGATGAGTTACCATTCGGTTCAGATACAAGAATTTCTTAAAAATACTGGCATTCATACATAAATGTCATACTCATATTCTTGTCTTATGTAATGTCTCACAAAAGCATTCTTTTCATTTGTTGATGTGGTGAAATGACTACAAAGAATCAGCATCCATGCGCTCGATAATTCTACGTGCTTCTTCCTCGGTTGCAGGGACCACCTTCCTGATCTTATGCCCGTTATTCATTGCTTTTGCCTCCGGTCGAACAGTGAATGTGAAGTAAAACCTATTTGACACCTGCAACACACATCAACAACATATCTTTATATTGCAGATTTTAGGCATTTTACATTCTTTACTTAAGCTGGTAAATGGAAATAAACGACTGATTAACTTCAAAGCTGACTCATATGTGTTTTAAAATTTAGTGCAAAAGATGGTGAAAAAAGATGTAGCAAATGGAGGACCATCTATGAAGAATGAAAGTAAAAAACATTATCTTTTACGGATAAAATCATAGGCATTTAAGCAGGATAGAATTGTGAACATCAACTATAACTTCTATGCCAGTTAGAAATTGTTAGTCCCTGCTCGTCTCTATTTGCAGCTAGGATGCACTGTTCGGGTAAGCAAAAATGCTTCCCGACACAAACTGACACTTTTAGGATAGAAGAAGATGTTGAACAACTCAATGTATTGAGTATTCAGTTTTTGTTGTGTGTTTACAAATAAAAACGGCACCCCTATTTATAAGAACTAAAAGCAACTATCCTAGTGACTTTCCTTGAAAATACATAAGTTGAAAAATCAAACTAAAGTGGCTGCCATGAAAGTGTTATGCAGCTGCAATAAAAATGCAATGAAAGTGTAATGAAAATGCAAGGAAGTTGCACTTTACTAACAAGGAAACTGCAGGATTATCTCTTACAATACTTCCCCTAATCCTGCTGCTCTTGCTTGTTTCCACCATTCCAATCTTGGTCCTCAGCTCCATGAACCGAAGACGACCGAGTGGCTTAGTAAGGATGTCTGCGAGCTGCCGTCCGGATTCGACAAACTCCTAAACAATCTGTCCTTCATCGATACAATCCCGGATGAAGTGAAAACGGGTATCGATGTGCTTGCTCCGGTCATGGAGGACTGGATTTTTTGCAAGGGCAATGGCAGGCTGGTTGTCCACCATCAAAGCTGGTGGACGAGCTTCCTCGCCGGTCAGCTCACCCAGCGACCGACGCAGCCAGACCGCCTGGCACGCCGCTGTGGCTGCTGCCACGTACTCTGCTTCGCATGTAGAGAGCGCCACGATCTTCTGTTTCAGCGACTGCCACGAGATTGGGGCCGCAAGGAAGACGAGAACACCGGAGGTGCTGTTCTGCCCATCAATGTCGCCTGCCATGTCTGCATCGCTGAAAACCGTGAGCCGCAGCCCACTTCCGCCGCCGATCTTGAGAAAGATGATGCCCTGGTCCACCGTCCCCTTGACATAGCGCAACAGCCGCTTGACCGCAGCCCAATGATCCTCTCGGGGGTCCTCCATGAAGCGGCTGACATAGCCCACGGCAAATGCGATATCTGGCCTCGTGTGGACTAGGTAGCGCAGCCCGACGACGATACTCCGATAGAGTGTTGCATCCACCTTCCCTGCGGTGCTGGCTTTCGTCAGCTTCAGTCGCTCCTCCATAGGAATCGCGCATAACTTGCAGTCAGCCATGCCGCTCCACTCCAACAGCTTCCCCGCATACGCACGCTGGCAGAGTGTGATAGAATCTCTCCCCTGCTTCCCCTCGATGTCGAGGTAGTAGGAAAGCTGCCCGAGATCGCTCATGCGGAAACGAGCTGCCATCTCGCGCTTGAAGCCATTGATGTCCCCTTCTCGTGCCCCAGTGATGATCAAGTCATCCACATACACGCCGACGACGAGCTCCTCCTTCCCCCGTCGTCGCGTGTAGAGCGCGTGCCCTGTCGCGCAGCGCGTGAACCCAAGCGTACCCAGAGTGGCATCAAGCTTGGCGTTCCACGCTCGCGGGGCTTGTCGCAACCCATAGAGTGCCTTCCGCAGCCGTAGCACCTTGTGCTCCTTTCCCTTGACGACGAAGCCCGGGGCTTGCTTGACGAAAACAGTCTCCGCTAGCTCGCCGTTGAGGAAGGCCGATTTCACGTCCAGGTGATGAATGCGCCAGTCCTTCGCTGCCGCCATGACTAGCAGTAGGCGAACTGACTCCATGCGTGCCACTGGTGCAAAAACTTCCTCAAAGTCGATGCCCTCTCGTTGGACAAAACCGCGAGCAACGAGGCGCGCCTTGAGTTTGACTATGGCGCCACACTCGTCCCGCTTGACCTTGTAGACCCATTTGAGCCCGATTGGATGACAGCCTGGAGGTGGATCGACAAGCTCCCACGTCTCATTTTCCTCGATCGCCTTCATCTCCTCTAGCATAGCTCGTCTCCAATTGACATCGCCCTCGGCCTGCAGGAAAGTCGATGGCTCCTCTGCGCTGACGAGGAGCAGCTCTTGATCATCGAGTAATCGGCTCGCCAAGCCTGGTACAGTCGAGTTGCCAACGAGGTTGTCCGTCCTGCGAAACCTCACCACCTCGCCATCGTGGAAGGCATCCACATACTCGTCGATGTCGCTTGGAGGAGAGGTGAACTCAACAGTCGTCGCTGGAGGTGTCCCTTGTCCTGCCCCAGCAAGGGACTGTGGGGGCGTGTGCGCAGCCGTTGGAGGAGACTCTTCGCCCGTGCCCGCCATGGCTGGACTTTGCGACTCATCCGACGCTGCCACAGCTTCAAAACTTGGCGCGTCCGCAGCTGGCTCCTCTACTCCCGCATCTCCTCCTCCGTGGATCACCAAATGCTCGATGACGAACGTACCGCCAACGCCACGGGCTTCCCCCGTGCCAGGATTCTCCCAATCTCAGGCCGCCATTTCGTCGAACACCACACATCCCGCGAAACCACCACCTTGCCTCCACGCGGATCGTAGAGCCGAAGGCCTTGCTCCTCTCATCGTAGCCTAGGAACACCATCGGTGTGCTCCTATCCTCAAGCTTGGACAGGAAGGGCTTCGTCTTCTTCACATGGCCAATGCACCCAAACGTCCTTAGAAACGAGACGTCGGGCTGCCTACCATGTCAAGCTTCGAATGGCGTCATGCCCTTCAGGGCCTTCGTGGGAGCATGGCTAAGGATGAACACTGCCGTGCTCACAGCCTCTCCCCAGAACTCCGCTGACATGCCCTTTGCTTTCATCATGCTTCGGGCCATGCCCACCACGGTCTGATTCCGCCGCTCCACTACGCCATTTTGTTGCGGTGAGTACGGTGCAGTGTGATGGCGCACCACCCCCTGGTTTGCACAGTACGCGGCGAATTCCATCGATGTGAACTCGCCACCGCGAATCGTCCTCAGCACGCACAGCCGCTTCCCGGACTCTGCCTCAGCCCGCCTGTAACCGCTTGATTGCCTCCGCCGTTTGATCCTTACTCGTCAGGAGCTGCAGCCACATGAAACGGCTACAGTCGTCCACGAGCAGCAGGAAGTAGTGCCTTCCGCCATGCGTAGCCGGCTTGATCGGCCCGCAGAGGTCGCCGTGGACGAGCTCGAGGACGTCCGCCGCACGATACTTGGCTGCCTTTGGGAAGGGCAGCCGCCTCTGCTTCCCTGTCAGGCAGCTGTCGCACAGCTCGCCTGCGTGCTCGATGTGCGGGAGCCCGCGCACCATCTTCCTCAACCGGCCAAGTACATCGAAGTTCAAATGGCCGAACCGAGCATGCCATAGCCATGGCTCCTCGGCGTGTCGTACCGCCAAACACACTGGTTGCTCCACCTTCAAGTCGAGGAGGTAGAGGCGGTTTCGGAAACGCTGGACCATGGCCAGCAACCGCTGTTCTCGGTCGCGGAGCTTTAGCACTCCGTCTTTGACAAGCACCTCGCAGCCGTAGTTGCCCGATGCTGACGATGCTTGAACGCAACTGCGGGATATACTACACATCCGTCAATGCACGGTGCTCGCCGTTCTGGCACCGGAAGATGACGGTGCCGCGACCTCGAATCTCCACCTTCGAGCCGTCGTCGAACTTCACCGTCCCCGTCACGCCGTCATCAAGCTCGGAGAAGGCCTCCTTGGTGCCGGTCATGTGTTTGCTGGCGCCGAAGTCTAGGTACCACCTCTGCTCTATGCCACCGCCCATTCGTCCAAGATGGACTTGGGCACTTGACTCGTTGAGGTGAACGGCTTGCAGTGATTTCCCCTGCTCTGTAGCCGTCGCCTTGACTTCCTCCAACTCTGGCTCGACGTCGTGCAACTTACATGTCGTTTCCATGAGAAGAGCTGGCTCCTCGTCGTCCACCTGCGCGAGGTGCGCCTCCCTCTTCTCCTTCTTGGGATTCTTGCAATCCCGGGCCCAGTGCCCTGTCTTCCCACAACGTCAGCAAGTGTCCTTGTCGATCGGACGCGCGTTGTCGCCGTCCTTCTTCTTCTTCTGCGGGGCCTTGCCACGACGCTTGCCGTAGCCGCCACGGCTGGAGGAGCCTTCCCCGGGCTGCCGCTCGCGCATACGAGCCGCCCATTCTTCCTCGGTCAGCAGTAACTTGCCGCTGGTAGTTATCGTCGCCGTCTCCCCACGATCATCCACCGCCCGCAAGCGCCCAGTCACATCCTCAATCGTGAGAGTGGACATGTCGATTAACGTCTCGATGGAGAGCGCGATCTGGGAGTACTTAGGCGGCACGACACACAAGTATTTTGCGACCGCCTCCTCGTCGGTGATGGTGACGCCGTGCGCCGCCAACTGACAGACGAGCGACTGTAGACGGAGCGAGAAATCCTCCACTGCCTCGCCGTCCCGGAACGCCAGCGCCTCATACTCCCGCCGCAGCTGCTGCGCCTTCGCTTTCTTTGCGCGATCAGACCCGATGCGCATGGCCTTGAGGGCATCCCAAGCAGCCTTTGCGGAGTCCTTTGTGCCCAGCGACTCCACGTACTCGTGAGGAACAGCGGACAGAATCGCTTCCATTGCTGCGCAGTCCTCTTCTTCATCCTCGGTGCCTTCTTCGATGGCCCGCCAAAGCTTGCGCGCACGCAACTTGACCTTCATCCCACTCGCCATAGTTTGTGCGTGTGAGGACCGGCCAGTTGGCCCCGCCAACGTCCCGTACGGTCCTGTGGATGATGACCTCCTGGCGCGGTGAAGCGTGTGCACCGCTCCCTTGCACCGTCGACGCAGCATCTTGGCTTGCCATGGCTCTGATGCCACTTGTTAGTCCCTGCTTTTGCAGCTAGGATGCACTGTTCGGTTCCCGACACAAACTGACACTTTTAGGATAGAAGAAGAAGATGTTGAACAACTCAATGTATTGAGTATTCATTTTTTGTTGTGTGTTTACAAATAAAAACGGCACCCCTATTTATAAGAACTAAAAGCAACTATCCTAGTGACTTTCCTAGAAAATACATAAGTTGAAAAATCAAACTAAAGTGGCTGCCATGAAAGTGTTATGCAGCTGCAATGAAAGTGTAATGAAAATGCAAGGAAGTTCACTAACAAGGAAACTGCAGGATTATCTGTTACAGAAATTTGGATCTTGATAGATGGTTTATTCCCATTGAGAGAATGCAATGAATCAACCCTAGCCAAGCATGCACAATTCAAGCTTGCTTGAGTTTTAATTGATCTTCAAGAAACGTGTTTAAACTCGGTTGGTTATTAACCGAGTCAAACAAGAACAAGCCTTAGTTGAGTTGAACATGATTCGAGCTCAAGTAAAATGATACCTTTTAACATATTTTATTATTTTTTATTAAGTGAGTGAGGGTTGGGTTAGAGCTGAACTTTACATTTAACAAACTGAATGATGTGCTGAGGTGTAGTTAGCTAATGAGCTCTAACAAGCTTTTAACAATCATTCTCAGGTGTAGTATCAACTTTTGTGTGTGTCACCTCAATTAATATGCTAACTCAATCTTTTTCCAACTTTTCTCAAGTAAGTACATGCTAATTGTTCGATATGTCATAATTGAATGAAGCCAATAAATCATACTCAGTTCTCCATATCCTAAACAACCTTTGGCTCTCTTAAGCATGTCGGAGTTCAAATAGATCGAAACTAATTTTTTTTCTTGTTTCCATGAATCAGATAAGCACCTATGTATGTCTTAACAGTAACATGCTATTTAAGAAAGAGTTAGTTCATCGAGTGAAGCTCGTTAGCTAGAGCATACCTCACTTGACCTAAGTTCAGGCCTTGTAACATGTGCAACAACTTCCACATTGATCAGAGGCCGATCTGAATTCTCGCTTTCCGTATACAATACACATGACTTGAGTCGCAAGAAATCCCCAACATCCACCTGCATGTATCACCATCACAAAGATTAGCTAATTAAGCTCTAACAACTTCATGGCCAGCTTTATAACAACATCACGCAAAATGATATAACAAAATTTGACAAAATGCACCACATTAATCTTTAGGCGAATGAAAATATATAGATGAATAGAAAATTGAAGAAGTTTTTGCTTTGTGCTTTCATTAAGAAGTAGCTGTATATAGTTGAAAGAAGAGTACTGTACAGATGAATAGACATAGGAAATTAAGTCCATGAAATCGGTTCATTGGAGATTAATTGTGGCAAAAACAAAGAGTATTGAACACAAGACTGAAAAAGAAAATGGCATTCTGTAAAAATAACTCACTGGTCTCAGAAAATCGACATGATCAACTTCCAGAAAAGACGGCATCATCCCAGCGAAGGCATAAGTTGTTGAGAAAGCCAGCTCAAATGCCCTGTGCATCAGAAACCCTCCAAATATCCGGCCGTGAATGTTCCTCTGCTGAGGTTGGCAAATCAGCGAGTTCTCGAGACCTGTGTCTCTTAAGAGAATGCTGTCTCTATCTGCCAAAGCAGGCATGTCACACAAAATTCGACCCTCGGCCAGCAATGATTCTAGCCTGTTCACCTCTTCTCCACTCTGGAACTCCTTCTTGTCGCCTCTAATCTTACTTTTCCTCAACTTATTCCTGGCTTCTGCTGCTTCATAAAGCGATTTCTCCCGTTCCGTTTTTGGAATTAGCCGATTCACCAGAGCAGCTTTGCCAGTCTTATAGTCACGAGCCACAAAAATGAAGGTGGCTGTTAGGGCAACTGAATCCGTAGCTTCATCTGTATCTGTGGACAGGAAAGCTCTTCGTTTGGTTAACGATATAAATAGCTTCAGCAAGGAAGCATTTTGATTTATCACATGCTAATTAGTTGTAACCATCTTCAATGTGAAAGCTAAAGATTGTGAGATTAAAGCACTGATGGTGATTAATGAAGGCACTTGTGCTTCGAGAATGATAATCTGAGTTTATAAACTCTGTAAAAGTACCTCACTAGAAGTTTTAGAACTAATAAGCTCTTCAATATTGTTTGCTAAACTTCTTAAAAACACCCTTTAAGCTCCCGAGATCAACATTAAAAATTTCAAATAAAAAATAAAATAAAATCTTATTTCAACAGCCTCCTTTAACTTTCAGCTATCTCAATAACAGAATTGTAATTACGAACACCTTTCTGTCATCAATTATCTTAGTATCTTCCCATATCCAAACACTTGAACAACTTGTTCTTGAAACAAGAATCGACATTTTATAATAGACAAAGGCATTTTACAGGGTATGTATAAGCTTATAGTATCTTTCAAATAGACATAGCCAACTCCTTGAAACTAAATATTGTAACAAGGTGTATCAGATAGTGAAAAAATGGGTATATAATTCATGTTGAAATATCCGTGTGAGGCTAAATCCAAGTAACATCAGGCAATTGATGCATTGGTCTACAGAGAGAGACCTACCAATACCAGACTGAGTCACGTCGAGCTGGATTTCTATAGAAGAGTGGCCAACCCAAGTAACAGCACCAGATACATGCAGATCAACATCAACATTGATGGGCTTTTTCAGCACCATTTTGTCAACAGAAGCAGTAACCAGATACAAAGGCCTTGTTGTGCTATCATCATCTGAACAGTGCTAATACAAAGGACCCGACCGAAAAACAAAGATCATAAAAGAAGAAAAAAAAAAATACGGTTACGACAATGTTGACTTAATAGGACAACTCAAAATCAAAATTATCTTGTGCTAATGTTACATGCGTTATGTGGACAAAAATTAAAATTAAGCGTTTTCTCGGGAACCTTACTCCCAAAAGATCTTCAATTGACAGCAAGTTAAAATACTTTTATGTTTTAATCGCGCTAACGCCTAATATCATGATCACTCCGTAAATTTAATAGTCCATATTAAGCTCAAAGTTGGTCCACTTTCTAGGTCAACTGCAAGTCCAAAAGTTCCATGGCTACAATCTCCAAAGTCCTTATCATCTTGACAAAATACTCCCAATCTGATTAAGCTGAAAATATACTACTTCCAACAACAGGACATATTTAATAATCTAGAATCTCTAGTCAAATTCCAATTGCAAATCACGAACATAAACAACCATAGAGGGCAATGACAAAAGAAATATGAACATGGAAAGAAAATATACTATCATATCCAAACAAAATACATTGCCCACAAAACAAATATTGGAAAACTAAAATTATACATTATATACATTCGCATACCTTAACTGAAATGGTGCCGGCAAGAGCATCGAGATCTTCAAGCAATTTCCCAATCCTGACCTCATTCCAAGGATCCCTATACTGCTCTCTCAGTATGAAATCAGTGGAGAAATTATACAGAATGGTCATTCTACTCTGTGACGGGGTTTTAGTCAGCAACTCGGTCTGCGGCGGCGCATCGAGCGGGGGATCGAGAAGCCTCTCGAAGATATTGGACCTTGTCTCCCACAGTGCGATCGTCACCGGCGAATGGTACATCCCCGGCCACAAGCTAAGGGGCTTTTTCCTCTTCGAAGGAGAAGAAATCGAATTAGAATCACAGTTGCTGAGGGGAGCGAAATTGGAGAAGATGCGAATCGGACTGGATGGCGACAGCCTCGATTCCTCCATTAGCGCAGAAAATTGGAAAAAGGAAGCAGTACAGAGGATTTCGAGAACAAATCAGATTGGAGCTGACATTGAAAGGATTTGTGAGTAATTTTGAGGTTGAGGGTTTTGTTGTGTGGTTGAGACAAAAGCAGTAATGGTGGCCGGTGGGAAGTTTTGCAGCTACTTTTATCTTTTCCTATATATTATAATTGGTTCAAGTGTGAGAATTTATGCAAGCACTGAAAATCTTATTTACGTGATAGTACTACACTCCTGACTCCCTTTCGTTTGTTGTTCTGCAATTATTTTAATCCATTTTGTTTATAAGTTGGATATTGTGCGACTTTTTTTTATACTTCAATTGATTAGTCACGGATGCATAATAATTATTTAATGAATACGTACACGTCATAAAGTCAACTATATACAACTATATATATATTTAATAATTAGCTCTTAAAATAATATACGTCATCACAAAATTTAAAACATCATATTCTATTCTATACGAGTTTTCATATTTTGGAAACGGTCCT